ATATATTGGCCATTTCCAAACAATTTGAAGTCCATCATTCTACAGTGAGGTAGATGGAAGACATTCAAAACAGACACCAATCCTCCCAGGAGTAGACAACCCAAGATCAGACTGTGTAACGCTCAGAGAAATGGCAGACGACCCAAGAACTTCACCGCAGGCTCCACAGGCCTCAGTTAACATGTTAAATGATCAAATTCATGACAGTACAGTTAGAAAAGTATGGGACATGTATGACATGTTTGGAAGGCTTGCCAGAAGAAAGCTTCTTCTATCTAAAAAATTCCAAAAGGATAAAAATGGTGAAAAAGCAAAAATCTAAAAATAAAAATACATTTAAAAATGCAGTCAGAAGAACTACAAAAATATAGTAAAATGTATTGTCTTGATTTTCAAATATGTTACAATAAGCTTATCGATATTAATATATATTTTTTCATTACTTAAAAATGAACAATTATTAAAAATATTATTGTGGATTTTCTTTTTTTTTTGGGCATAAAAGCAAACGCATTGATTTGTGTCAATTTTCAAAATAAATAAAAAAAAATTAATAATAATAAATCGATATTAATATATATTTTTTAATTACTTAAAAATGAACAATTATTAAAAATATTATATTATAGTTTCTTTTTTTTGGCATAAAAGCAAACGCATTGATTTGTGTCAATTTTCTAAATAAAAAAAAATAAAATAAATAATAATAATAATAAAATTCCTTTTTTTTTTATTGTAAATAGTTTTTCCAGAGTATACTGTGATTCATGTTCATGTAATAATAATAATTTATATATTTGGCATTATTAGAGTACATTATTACAGTCAAATGTAGTATACTGAAATATAAAAGGTATGAAGTAGAAATGTGGATCATCAGACAGGCCAGCAGTAAGAACCAGAATTCACTTTACGGATCTGACCAGGCTGCCGCGGAAATGTCACTGACTGTCCTGTGGACAACAATTAATTTATTCTAGAGAAATAAAACTGCCACAGCAAACACCACTAATTACTATCAGTCATTGTTGGATTACTGCTGTTCGTAATTTATTACCTGGAATAAGTGGGATTGTAGTTCCAGTATTCAAGACAACTTGAAGAGCGGAAGGCTCCTGACTCCCAGACTCCTCCTCGGCAGGCTTCCTCACTGAAACGCTCACTTCCACACTCTTTATCAACCAGTCCATCTCGTTGCCAAGGTAACTCACACCTTTCACACGGAGCGCATCAACTTCCTGTGGTAGCAACGGAGCGAAGACAAGATGCTCCTTCTGCACCCTGAACAACACAGGACAGGAACGAGACACACAATGACGTCTGGATGTGATCAAGCGACTGGCTCTTCAAGACGGCAGTGATTTTGTCACCTGAAGCCAGTGTAGCCAAACAGCACTGCCTGCAGAAAGCCGCCCATACCGGTGAGGAAGTTCACACACCCAGAGCCATCAGCCGACTCACTCCACACCTACACACAGAATAGGAAAATACAGATAATAGAGATATTTGACATTAAATACTAGGGTATTCATATATTGTGTAATGTGTACGGTATCCTGCTTTAAATATTGACATATGTGACCCTGGAGCACAAAACCAGTCTTAAGCAGCAGGGTATATTTGTAGCAATAGCCAACAATACATTGTATGGGTCAAAATTATAAATTTTTCTTTTATGCCAAAAATCATTAGGATATTAAATAAAGACCATGTTCCATGAAGATATTTTGTAAATTTCCTACTGTTTTTACATCAAAACT